GGACACGAACTACAGCTCTTAGTCCCTGTTACGTGGTCTGATGCATCATCCACCTCGAAACTTATGTTCGTACTTTATTTCCGATACTGACTCAGCCTAGGGACTCTATCAAATATATTTGAAAGAGAAAATTAAAACTCGACCTGCATGAAAATAATGTTAGCGGGAAAATCAACAAACACGCAACGTATAATAAGCAGTGTCTTTTCATAAAGGGAGCTAAATAGCACATGCAAGCAAAAGATCTGTAACAATCATTACGTGCTCCCCATTAATGGTACATGTGTGTGTGCACATACATAGACATGGATCCTTATAGAAAAACACTCTAATATATTACCATGCATATCAAGCATGCAAGCACACCAAAAGGAAAAAAAGTGACACATAATTAGTGCAAACAAGTCTGCAAAGAATAATAGCCAGAGGCGTCGAAAATACTACCTAATACCCTAGTCCTAACCTAGCACAACATCTAACGAGAAGTATCATAACCAACATCTAAATGTAGGGTAAGTCTTCGGGTATGTATGACTTTGGCAGGGTTGTCATTTCGGGCCTGTCCTAAAGATCTGAGGGATCTAAAGGGTGTAACCCAGGATTGATATGAAAAGTGTTGGCCTTACATATGACCTAGCTTGATGTATGCATACTTTTAAAGTTATGGTGAATTTTAATAAGTAGAAAAATATATATTTTTTAGTTTTAAAATGAGGGCCATTAAATTCGGAACATTAACAAGCAAGGTGATACGAGCTAGATACCTTGAATCCTTAGAAAAATCATACTTGTGTCAATCTTAATGTTTTAACTCTTATTGCTCATCGAGATCGACCGATAAGCATTGCTCGTTATGGCATCACGACCGACACGGGGTCACTCACCTACCGAGCTTGGATCGTTATCCATGCATGGATACAAATGCAAATGCAAACAATATTATGATAAATGTGGTGAGGAATGTGTCATGGAGGCAGTAACTCAGAAGTTGGCATGTCATGAAAGTAGAGATCTAAAGGAATGGGTGTGTCGTGGAGGCAGTGTCCCAAAAAAGTGGACGAGTTGTGGAGGCTGTGACTCAAAGTAATGGTTGTGTCATGGATGCAGCAATCAGAAAGGATGGAGGCAGTGATTCGAGCATGGGTGTGTCATGGAGGAAATGATCTGAAAAGGGTAGATGTGTCATGGAGGCAGCGACTCAAAAAAATGGGTGTATTGTGGAGGCGGTTACACGAAAAGGCGGAAGTGTCGTAGAGGCAACGACCCAAAGTAATAGGTGTTTTGTTGAGGTAGTGACCCAAAAATGGTTGGTGTATCGTGAAGACAGCAAACCCAAAGGAATTGGTGTGTCGTGGAGGCAGTGACCTGAAAGGATGCCTATGACGATCGGAGCGGTACTGTAGGAAATGCAAGAATGTAACCCATGTTGGAGGGAATTACAATGAATTGACTTAGTGACGAGCCACCCTCTCACATAAAGTGTGAATGCGAAGGATAAGGGTGTGAGAGGCATAAATCTGAGTGCAATACATGTAAATGCATAAGTCATGAAACATGTAGGGTGCTATGCAGGAAAACAAACAAACAAACATGGGAAGTACAAAAGCGAACCACCTGTGACTTGTTGTTAAGTGACATGAAAATTGCATGAAGCAAATGTAGAGTAATGTGTCATTGGGAAGCACGAATATTCGATATGGACTTATGAGGGAATATGCCCACAAGTGCACAATAAGGGTGCAACTGATGAATATGTTAATGCAAACCATGAAGAACAAACATTATGCACGTTGAATTGGTTGTTTGACATGCTCAGTCGACTGGGCTAGTCAACTCAAAGCAAGATAGTAAATGGGCTCAGTCGAGCTAAGGTGGCTGACTAGGCTAAAGAGATTGGTCGACTGGGCTAGTGTGTCCGGTCAAACCAAAGTGCTCGTTAGAACGGGTTGGGGCAGTCGTTCAGACCAAAGTGAAAGGTCGAATGTTTTTGGGTGGTTGGTTCAACTGAAGTGCTATGTCAACAGGGCCAGAGCTGTCGGTCCAGGCAAAGAATGATGTCGACTCGGTCGAGGCGACCGATTGAGAAAAATGTGTGATGCATGAGATGCAACATGATATGGTGCAATTGATCATAAGCAATAGTTAGTCATCCTCATACTAACGATCTCACATAGGCACAGAGTTTTAGCTCTTAGATTTGTGGAATAGTCGCCTCCGGCTTTGGTAGGAAAATATGCAGAATTTCTCCCCCCAATTTCTTGTAGGAGAAGTCTTTCACCGTTCGTAAGGCAGATTAGCTACAAAGCTTTTTCCATCCTATGAACCTCCCAAAACCTTGTAGAATGGGCTAGCCAAAATCCTCCAAGGAAGGTTGGAAGCACCAAAACCGTAGGAAGTTTAGGATTCCAACCCATTAGGATTTAGGTCTAGGGTTCACAACGAGAAATCACTCAACTTCACAAAGGAATTCACCATGCATTTGCTTCCTAACCCAGGGCTTCGTTTAGGAAATCAACGGTCAATCCAAAGGCGTCTGGTCATGCCGACTAGTGTCAGTTGGGCAACTCACCCCTTGTGGGTGACCGTGCCCACAACACCTAACTTAAATCTAATCCTAAGGCTAGCTAAGAAAGAAACATAAGTGTTGAGGATGTTATACCGTCGCGGTGGTTGATCAATGTCCCACGCTCATCTGGATGAAGCTCTCCTAACTGCAGAAGAGAAGCCCATCGAGATCCTTCCTCAAAGTAATGAGGAAGCTTTCCTTGCTGGAGAGAACGAAAAAACGTGCTCTTTGCTTACATGAATTATCGGCATCCGGACCATGTGCCAACGTAACTTACAGGACAAACACATAACTAGCGAAAGAGCAAGTGAGGTATACAAGTATCTGAAATGAATATCATTTCATACAAAAATGTGACCGATGTGTACCTTTACGAGGGGTTGGACGCCGGTCTCTGTGCACAATGCGATCACCAATGGCAGCGAAGTCGCTGACCAAAGAGAAAAAATCTTCCATACTTAAAATCTGTCTATTAAAGAAAGTCCTTTGAGAGCACGTCTCTCTCTCTCTCTTGCGATTAGGGTTGTCAAAACAACTCGTTGTTCGCGAATAGCTCGTGTTCGGCTCGTTAAGAAGCTCATGCTCAGCTGGTTCACTAAGCTCGTGTTCGTTCGTGTTTGGCTCGTTTTAGCTCGAAATACTACTAATCAATATATATACATATATATATTTGACTCTCTCTCTCTCTCTCTCTCTCTCTCTCTCTCTCTCTCTCTCTCTCTCTCTCTCTCTCTCTCTCTCTCCGTGTGATGAGTATCATTTTTAAAACATTCAATTGACTATAAGGCTACAAAGATTTATAATCAATTATAAGTATTAATTAAGAAAATAAAATAAAAAATATTAAATTAGATTCAAATGATGTTTTAAATCTTGCCTCAATTCTTAACATCTTATGGTACATGATTAAGGTTGTCAAAATGATTTTTTGTTCGTGAATGGCTCATGTTCGACTCGCTAAGCAAACGAGTCAAACACAAACACACTTTTTGAGCTCGAAATATAAATGAGCTGAACACGAGCGAGCATGGCCCCTCTGTAGTGTCGGTCGAGGAAGCTTCATGACTGTCGTCTTCGTTGGCCCCTCTTCATCGACATCGATGCCTTTGGCAATCAGACCCTGTTGACACTCGCAATCGCACCTGTGCCAGGCCCGGGAGCCAGGGCTCTCTAGCAAGGTTTTTTTAGCGTCTACGCCTCAGGACCCTCGGATGAGTCTACTTGATCGGCCGACGCAAGTTCAAGTTTCGACCACTTCTCCTTCTTTATAATCTTTTTCCTCCTTACAAAGATAGGAATCTGAAAGCCCTCCATAACCAGAAGTTCATGATCCACATCATCTCGGCTTGTACCGTCAGCCATGGTGTTCCTTGGCTATTTGAGGAGAACTAGCAACAAAAATTGCAAATGACAATCCTATGGTTCTATTTATGGGGCTCACTGGGCTCGAAATCCGAAAAAATGTTAAATATTGAATTAATTTTCTCAATTTTTTTGTGTCATTAATTATTTAATAGTTTTTCTATCATTATCGTAGTTGTCATTATCAAGGAGAATGAAAACTCAGAAAACTAATATGTATGCACCGAAACTACAAGCACAGATCTCAAAGCCATCAAATGACCAGGGATGGCGACTGAAGCATTAGGCTGAAGAAGCATGATCTGAATCAGCCATACGATGATTGATTACTTGATTAATTCGACCGACATGCAATATCGACATATCCAATCAGCAGACCACACTTGCAGGCCCATCCGTCTAAGCTTCTTGCAAGGACGCCTGGTTACAAATAGTCGACCAGCCGGGTTTACCCCGATAGGGTCGATCATCACAAGACTAGTCGCCTGAGCTGACTGAACTCAAATAAGTTGACCCACCGATAACCGTTGTATTACACTCAAACTGTAACACAGATTCGTTATTAAATCAACACATCAATTTATCATTAAGGACGGTTTCCATAATCATTTCTTCTGTAATTGTACGAATATATCTCTATAAATAGGAGGTCTGAAAGTGAATAAGTGAACTTTTCCCCAATTTTCTCTACTGAGAATTCTCTAACCGCTCCACCATCTCTCTCATTCTCTTGGCTCTAACTCTCGAGGCTTGTATTTCCAAAAGACCTTTTAAGATCCAACACATAAATTTTGAATTATTATAATAAAATGTGTGGAAATGATTTTTCAAATTATATGAAGGATCAACAACCCAAAGAAAGTTGCTCTAAGTAATAATAATAAAAGCTTCAGCTTTTCATATGTTATCAATTAGAACATCATCAGTTCAAAATCTAATTGAACACGATCAAGTACGCATTAAAAATTTCATATCTTCTAAAAAAATGGTCTTTTATTTTTTTCTTAACCTCTTTTGTTATGAAAATTTCTGCATATTCAATCACACTATACAATGCATAATCTCAAAACAGACCGCCCGGAGGAGCCGCCGCCGCTCATCCAACGGGCTAACCGTGGTAAACCTGATCCAAATGTCCTCAGCTTTCTCGTATCGCTGAGACTAGCCTTTGTCAACCGCTCAGATGCTCCCAACTGAGTTCCATTTTACCGACGGCCCCAATGGCGAAGCGATTCCTCTTCCGTATCAGTAAATTTTCCTTCTTTATCACTCGCTGCTATTCATTTCACTGGCTAACACAATCTGTCCATATACCTTTAGTCTCTATATCCTTCTCTTTGTCACCGTGATCAAAGTTGAAACTTGGGTTTTGCTAAAAAGATCCTCTTTTTACCAGATTCCTTCATACGCTACGATGATAAAAGTGACACGTATCAGCATCTCCTAAAAGGCTTACTCTGTAGGCGCCTCTCGCAACGGCATCAAGGGGAGTATAAGAAGAAGGTGGGAGTAAGTGATTTGCACGAGGATCCCACTCTGCAACATCCTGGATTGCCCAAGCCAGGTTTCGATCCGGAGGTTGTCAGAGAGAGCTGTGACGATGACGATTCGAGCTGGCGAAAGTGGAAGGTAGAATTTGCTTGGCTTTCTAAAGCTCTGGAACCGGCTTTGCAGCTTTACAAGTGGGCATCCACTGCAGGTCTTACTGTTATTAGTGTCTTCTATGTTTAGAACAGCTCCTTGTCACTTTGCGATAAGAATTACACGTTTCTCTATTAACATGAGCACCTTTTATATCGTTTAGATAACGAACTCTTATTAATTTGTATGTTATCTTCATGTCACTTCATTCTATTGGTTATTTATCTTTGAACGTAGCATAAACCAAAATCTAAGTTTTAGAAATTGTCAGTTTGTTGATTTTATGCTTGAAGTAAGCGGCAGGAAGTAAAAGTTCTGTAGGGTGAAGAACTCCATGAATCTCGCTTTGATTTAATATCAGATGACATAGAAGTTAGGGGATTCCCTTCATATGTTTATACGGCAAACTCACTGGTTGTACTAAGCGCACTTGTTATGATGCAGGAATTGGGGAAAAGCCGGTAATACCACCAAGTACAAGAACTCTCTTTGAGATCCTTACAGACCTTCAAGCTAGTAAAGCTGGAATCCAAGAATGGAGTTTAAGTGACCTTACAGTTGGTCTGTACCTTATCCACCTGAGTCAAGCATCAGCTACAAAGGTTGAAGATTTCAAGGGTGTCCAGATTCAATCCGAGTCTGCGGTAATTTCCCAGCTTTTTCCTACTACAGAAAAGAGGTTTTTTTTACCTAGCCAGTATCTGATCTCTGAAGGCATTGCCATTTCACATGATGTAATTTGGCAAAATGCTATTTTGTCCACTTTTCTTTTGTTTAACATTCTACTTTGTTTAAAATATACATTAATATGCTAACTTTGCCTTACTGCCCAGGTTCAAGAACTCATTTACCATCTTGAGCTGGCTAAGGGATGTTATAGAGATAGCACATCAAGCATTGCACGACAATGCATGCTTCGAGAAAGGAACATTCTGAAGTTTGTGAAAGATTCCAGTTTATTACGCCCTGGATACTATATTGGTGTAGATACTAGAAATAAATTAGTAATACTTGCAATTCGTGGTACTCACACTGTGTATGACCTTATAACTAATCTGGTTGCTTCAAGTGATCAAAATGTGTCATTTGATGGCTTTTCTACTCATTTTGGAACTGCTGAGGCTGCTCGCTGGTATCTACACCATGAAATGGGAGCCATTAGAAAGCTCCTAGTGAAGCACAGAGTAAATCCTGTTGTTTTAAGATGATTGCTTTTGTTTATTTTCTCTTTTTATTTAGATAATTAGTATTTCATAACTATTTTTCATATTTGAAAAAAATTCTTGGACAGGATTTTAGGTTGAGGCTAGTTGGACATTCTCTTGGAGGTGCAGCTGCTGCATTGCTTGCTATCATGCTACGAAGAAAGCCGGCTAAGGAACTTGGGTTCAGTCCTGACATTATCTCTGCTGTTGGATTTGGAACTCCGCCTTGTGTATCGAAGGAGCTAGCTGAAAGCTGTGCTAGCTATGTCTCCACCGTAGTGCTGCAGGTGAGCTATTCTCTTTCTTTTTTCTTTCCTTTCACCATAAAAACTTTGAAGTGCTTCATTCAGTCTCCATTCTTGTAAAGTATCCTTTACTTATTTATTCTTTTCAGGATGATATAATTCCAAGGTTAAGTGTAGCTTCGCTTGCTAGATTGCGTAATGAGATTCTTGAAACTGATTGGTAAGTAAGTTATTCTTTCAACGAATATATCTTTTATCCTCATATGGGAATCCAATTATATCTATTTTTTGGTTTTCTTTTTTTTTGCCTCAGTTGAGTAACTTTGCTGTCAATAATCGTCTTGTAGATTGGGTTTGTTTAGAGGATACTTTTGCTGTCAGCTAAATTTAGTAAACAGTGTAGGCCAGACAAAAACTTTGTTTATTCATTTTTTAATTTAATTTATTAAATACATCTTCAATGGTTTATTCGTTTCAGTTGTTTTAAATTATATTTTACTGGTAGCTACAATCTAACATTAACCCTCAATCTTGGACATCCAGGCTAGGGGCTGGTAGCAATGCTCATTAGAAAAACAAAATGCCTCGTTAAAAAAATAATCATAATAATAGTGATTTTGTCATAATAGAGCTTGATGATGACTAAAAAAAAAGTGTGGGCTAATGATTGAAAGAACTGCAATACTAGTGGTTGGTCATAAAGAGGATTTATACAAGCAACATATGTGAAATTCGAGACAACCTAAATACTGCATCAGAAACCCCTTAAATAGAATGAAATTAAATTTTGAAACATCAAAATACCTTTTAGCATAGTTGCTGGTTCTTGCAACTCTGCAGTTGTGCAGGTATTAGAACTCTATTCGGATGGGTGTGAATTCAAGGTGCTAAAATGACAAAGGTTCTAGTACTCTAGTCTATCAACATCTGTAAGCTTGGAGGGTGTGCAGGTATTATAACTCTATTCGGATGGGTGTGAATTCAAGGTGCTAAAATGACAAAAGTTCTAGTACTCTAGTCTATCAACATCTGTAAGCTTGGAGGGTGTGAGATGCTTTAGGAGACAACATAAAAAAAAACAGTAATGTGAAGAGACGAGAGTTGTAAGTGGTTCGGTCGTATTTGCAACATTCGCTGAAAGAAATCTTCCCTATTTTTGTACTTTTCCCTTTCTCCTCAAAATCATCATCCTCCCCCATTTTACAAGGTCCTATGCTTCATTCTCTACCTCTATATTTCATAGTTGACATGACCATCATTTGACATAAATCATAAGAAATGGAATATAGATTATGGATTTAAGGCTTCAGGACCTGTCATTGCCGGTTGTCATGGAGACCTTCAATTGCTTAGTTTGGACTGTCCACAAGGGTGTTGGCTAGGACTGGTGCCGAGAGGAGGTTTTAATAGTTCATGACAGAAGATTGTTGGGGTTTATCGGCCTGCTCAATCTAATCGAGTGCAAATTAATAATTATAATGATAGGTGGATGCCTAGATGGTTTTGATTGAGCGTGAGAATCAAGGTATCATGATTAGGAAACAAATTATTTCAACAATATTAAAAATATGTATAAAGTAGTGATGCCTTATTAGAGGGATAGCTTGATTTTATTGTTAGATTCAACTATTTTGTAATGATTTTGATTTGTTAATATTTGTGAAAGGCTCTAAAAACACACTTTTGTTTCTCTCTTCAATGCATCTCTTCACAATTGGATCATTATATATTTTTTTTTCAATAAAATATTTGTTCCTTACCCATCTCAATTAAGTTTAATGGTCTATAGTACCCAAACTCAATAATAAAGTCATCACCATTCTTAACTTTATCTTAGCAAGTTGGAGTTGACATTTTTGTAGAAAATAAATCAATGGAAAAACTCTCAAGAGTCTTCTCTTTCATTTGTGCAGAAGGAAAGACATATACATGAATAAAATTAAAAAAGGGGGGAAAATTAATAGGGGCTAAAAATCCTTTAGGAAAGCTTATGGATTACAATCCGAAGATCATATAGAGACAGATTTAATTGTCCAAAATTTTGTTTTGTGTGTCTCAAGTCTTTCGCTATAATTGGAGCAGAAATTTAATACTCTTTCTCAAATTGGATTATAGAGATGTACCATTCCAAGTTTGCTTAAGATGTTTTTAAATATGGGGCTACGAATTCCTTTGGTGAATATGTTGGTCTGTTGATTTTTTCTTATATTGCTCTAATCTGCATTGATTCTTTTTTCAAAGTATTATTTTTGTCATGGTTCAGTTGGAGTTTTACGCGGCTTGTACTTTGTATTCTTAGTTTCTTTTAGTTGTTCAATAACATATTTTATTGGGAGAGAGACATAAAAGGGCCATTGATTTCTAGTAGTATGGTGTTCCACAATCATGTCATAATCATGAAATCAATTTCTTCCCAAGTAACAACTTTGAGATTTTGGGCTTTGGAGGTCGATCCACAAAGTATTGCACTCATAATTTATCTAATATATTTATTTGTATTTATGCTTTTTTGTTTTACCATCATAATCTCAAAATCTCATTTCAGTGATATCAAATTTAATTGACCATAACTTTTATGTTATTCTGATATTCATAAGCAATATCTAATTAATTGTCGCTTTCTAAATTATAACATTCAATCTTCATGATTCTTTTATTGCATAATAATTATAAGACATTTGTTCATTAATTGATCATCTTTAAAACCATATGCAACACCTAGCAATAATAAATAGAAAATGAGTATTCATAAAGCTGGATCTAAATAAGATGAAGCACTAGAAGTCTTGTATTTTTGTCTTGTTCTTTTTATGCGTAGGCCTTTGGGTTATGGGAAAAAAAATTCTTTCAGTAGTCCTATTTATATTAATATATAGATATTCACTTTTGAAGATTATCTTTGCACTTATAACTATTTACATTATTATATAGATCTTCACTTTTGAAGATTATCTTTGCACTTATAAACAAATGCAACATTTTTTTAACACAATTTGTGTTCATAATTTGGCCTGAAGATTCCCAAGTAAACCAGCGTAGTTAAGAGCTGGGAGAGTAAACTATAGCAGCAGAATTAGGAACAGAAAAAACAGAAGAAGGATTACAAATAAACCATAATTCATATCTCTTAAACATAAACAATATAATTATAAACATATTTATTTTCTTCTAATTGCACAACAATAGGTTTATTGAATCATGCAATGCACATTGGCTTTATGCACTCAGTTTTTACCTCATTCACGGAGAAGTGAAATCAATTCTACAGTTACCCATAGAATTTACATTCAGCACATATCATGTAATTACTGAAGCTGCAGTTTTTAGAATTATAAACTTACACTTGAAAAAAATGATTCCTTCAAGGAATTATCCACGTCTGTAGCTCCCGTAGTACCAGAAAATGTTTTCATTTTAGGAAGGTTTACATACCTACAACTCTACTCCTAAGTATTTACATATCTAACACCTAAACTTCAATTTTTTGCATGCATGGCACCTTAACTGTGAATAAAAAAGTGTGTTTCACTTTTTAGAAATGGTGAATTTTATAAATATAAAAAGTAAAAGTTACATGTTAGATATGTAAATACATAGCAATTTTGGTGTTATGCATGTAAATGTCCCTTTATTTTGTTGATTTCATGCTCAAAGTAATGCCTTCATTGTACAAAAGATGTTTGATTTGCACATTTGATTTGAATATTTTTACTATTCTTTGCATTCCTTTTCTCTAGACTTATTTTCTTTCCTTTATGGGAGTTATTTATTTTGCTGCAGGATGACTATTTTAGAGAAGGAAGACTGGAAAGTAATTGCAGAACTGGTAACAAATGCAAAACATGTTGTTTCTTCAGTTCAAGATGTAGCTCGGAAACTTGCAGCTTATGCAACAAAGTTTAGGAAAGTTTCAAATTCCTCTGGTAAGTAATGGAAATCTCATGCAGATATTAGATTTATATTGACTTCTAAACTGTGAGTAAATATTCTAAATAAAAAATAAATAATGTTATATGAATCATTAAAATTGTTGAAATGAATTCTTATAGTTGGATAAAAACAATGCAGTTGGAGGAGGTGATGAAACTTTGATTAGGGGGTTGGTTTTACTAGTGAAACGTTGAGGAAGATGCTTTTGCTAAATAGTCATGTAGTTGAACTTGTGCTTCCATTTAATAGAATATGTTGAGCCCAATTCCTATGTTTTTACATCTCCAACACCTAAACTTTACTCTTTATATTTATTCCACCCAAATCTTTGATACAACATAAAAAATGCCACTACTTTAGCTTGTTCCAAGTGAAATCCACCTTTTTCTTGCAAAGATAAGGAGGCTTATATGTAAAAATTGAAGCTTTGGTGTTAAATATGTTAATGCATGGGAATTGAGTGTGATCTATGGTAATGTCACTCTGGCCTTCACTTCAGCTTTGCTCTTAAACATGTACAAAACCTCAACCATGTAAAGTTATTTATTTTTTCATTCTGGGACATTATTTGCTTTGTATTTGCAGAAATTTCCCAGATAAAAGAGTCGATTCACCAAGAAACAAAAGCTGTTGATAGCGCCATTGATAAACAGAACGATAGGATTTTGGAGGAGCTATACTTGCCTGGGACCCAATATTTCTTGAGAAGGGAGATGGACAAAGGCAGCTCAGATGATATAGTTAATGAGAGGAGCAAAGAATTTTACACACTGTGGAGGAGGAATTCAGGAGAGCATTTTCGAAGGATTTTGCTTTCTGGCAACTTGATATCAGATCATAAATGCGAAAATCACTATTATGCTCTCAGGGATGTGCTCAAAGGCCTGCCAGTTTCTGATAGGAGGACAGTCTTTTAAATTTGATTTTCCTTGATTCATATTAATAAATCAAACCCTTACTTTTCATAGTTATTTTATTTTATTTTATTTTATTTATTTTTATATTTGTTAGTTTAGCACATCAATTTTGATTTTTTTATTTGTTTAAGATTTAGAGAGATGGAAATAATAAAAGGAATTATGAGGTGATAAATTTTCTCATAGTGAATGTGTTTGCATGCAGTGGTTGGCATCCTCGGTGTAAGACCCCTTAGGTCGGGAGTCTGAGTTCCCTCTAGCACAGTTGGTTTTAAAGAGTGATATTCGAATTGTTAGACACATTAGTGGGTGGAGGCTCGTATAATAGCCTCTCGTCATTTCTTAAAAAAACTGAAATATTATTTTATGAGGAATTTATATAAGACATGTATATATATAATATATAAATGTGGGAAATATAAGGAACAAATATACCACTAATAATCTATGTGATGTATTTGAAATTTATTAAAATTTTACCCTGCATTTTCTTCATTTCAAACAAAATATTAATATTTTTTAAAACCCATGTATTTGAAATATTTTACTTTTTTTTTTTACTTGAAACAAAAACAACCTACACAAAAAACACTTTTTTATTTTTTAAAATGCTTATTGTGAGAACCAATTCAAAGAGAAACAAGCTGGCTTTAGCCAGCGTTCTACATGAATGCTGCCTGCCTTCTCCCTCGCTCTTCTCTTGCAGCGAAGACCAACACTGGTCAGCTGAAGCTTCTCCTTCCTTCTTTACTACAGAAATGTTCTTCCAAGGACGTTGGATCTCTGTACGCAGCCATGATGAAGAACAATTTTCTCCACGACTCCTTCATCATCAACCAATTTTTGGCTGCATGCAGCCGGCTCCATCAAATTTACCACGCCTCCCTCGCATTCACCCAAATTGCAGAACCCAATATCTTCGTCTACAATGCAATGATTGGTTGTTTTATAAACTGTTCTGCACCACTTGATGCCCTCCAGCTGTTTGTAGAAATGCGTAAGCAACAACACCAGCCCACCTGTCATACCTTCTCCCACATCATCAAAGCCTGTACACAGGTCCCAACTTTTGGATTCGGTGAAGCCGTTCATGGCCAGGTTAGAAAAAGTGGCTTAGTCTGTCATCTCATTCTACAAACCGGGTTGATTGATTTCTACTCTATCTTGCACAGAATAGAAGATGCAAGGAAAGTGTTTGAAGAAATGATCGTTAAAGATGACTTCGCATGGAACACGATGATATTTGGATACACCCTCCTTGGAGATTTAAATGCCGCGCGTAAACTGTTTGATCAAATGCCTGAGAGGAATACAGTGTCTTGGAACGCTATAATTGCAGGATATGCCAGGTTGGGGGATGTAGAGACCGCGGCATCTCTCTTTAAGCTGATGCCAAGAAAGAATTTGATCTCATGGACAAGCATGATTTCTTGTTATTCTCAAAACAGGCTATTCAAAGAAGCTCTGGAGACATTTGATGCCATGAAAGCTGCAGGAATGAACCCAGACAAGGTCACAATGGCAACTGTGATATCTGCTTGCGCTCATCTCGGAGCGCTTGAAACTGGCAGCAGAATGTACAGGATAACAGTGCTGAATGGATTCCCTATAGATGTATATACAGGTTCAGCTTTGATTGACATGTACGCGAAATGTGGAAACATAGAAAAATCTTTGGTCATCTTCTTCAAGCTGGAAAGTAAGAACCTCTTCTGCTGGAATTCCATCATTGATGGACTTGCAATGCACGGGCGCCCCGAAGATGCATTTTACATGTTCTCAAAGATGGCAGAGAGTTCAGAAAAGCCGAATAGTGTTACATTTGTCAGCATTCTCAGTGCCTGCAATCATGGAGGGCTTGTGGAAGAAGGCCGAATGATGTTTCTGAGAATGGTTGAGGATCATTCAATCGTCCCTGAGATGGAGCATTACAGCTGCATGGTGGATCTACTGGCCCGCGCCGGTCTGGTGCAGGACGCGCTTGATTTGATAAGAAAGATGGTGATTGTTCCAAACTCGGTCATATGGGGAGCTCTGTTGAGTGGGTGCAAGATTCATGGAAATATGGAAGTTGGGCAGATTGCCATGGAAAGACTGATTTCATTGGATCCAGGTAAGAGTAGCAGCTATATGCTGTTAGTAGATATGTATGCCAAAGAGAATAGGTGGATGGAGGTTGTTGCTGTGAGGAGGAAGATGAAAGAGATGGGAGTTCAGAAAGTGAGTTCGGGTTGTAGTTGGACTGAGATTGATGGGCTGGTTCACGAATTTGTTGCATCTGATACTTCGCACCCTTCATCTGAACAAATAATTTCGTTATTGTTTGAATTATTTGGTCATATGAAACTTGAAAGGTTCAATGGTAGTATGTCTAATATGTTCTGTTTCTGCCACAGCTAAAGTTCAGTTCCTATGTATTCACATATATAACACCTAAACTTTACTAGGGGGCAGTATTGGTAAAGGTGGTATGTATGTAAAAATTGAAGTATACATGTTAGATATGTAAATATATGAGAATCGAACAATACGCATCTAAATCTTCCTTTTTTTTGTTAAAAATATAGAATAAAATCATAAATAAAGGTCAAGGGTGTATACAAGTCAAGCCCAGCGCGAGCCACTCTCGGCATGAACTTGGTTAATTTTATTAAATTCAAGCTCAAGCTTAAGTTTTCAAGTTTAAGCTGATTTCTTTATTATAAAAGAATAAAATTAATTTCACAATAAAATGAGTAATTAGAAGAGAGAGAATTAAAAATTATTTAATATAAAATATAAATTATTATTTTTTAAATATTATTGATAGTTTAAAAAGAAAGACTTGAATATACTTTGAATTTATTTAATATTAATATTTTTAAAATAAACCAGCTCACGAGCTAACAAATCAAGTTGGGGCTAACTTAAACTAGGCTCAAAACCTCATGAGCATAGTTCAAAAGCCACATATCAAGCTGAGCTCAATCTGATTCACGACTCGGTTTCTCATTTACAACCCTAAAGCAGGCAAAAAAACCATAATCTAAATGAAGCCTCTAAATCCCAATAAGAATAGGAGAATTTGAGAACTGAAAGAACACAAGTCCTATGTATTATTTGAGGAAAACAAAAGCCTGATAATGTTAGGTAAGAATTAACATATCTCAACAGCATTCCTCAGACTTAAATCAGCTAAACACATCTCAACTCTCCAAGATCTGCCCGCAATCTTCAATCACCACAGGTGAAGCAGTCCTTCCAGATTGAGATCCTTCCTTCTCCATTGCCTGAACAACATTATATCCATCAACAACCTCACCAAATACAACATGCCTCCCATCCAGCCATGCCGTCTTTGCAGTACAGATAAAAAACTGGGAGCCATTAGTGCCTGGACCAGCATTGGCCATGGAGAGAACACCAGGCCCTGTGTGCTTCTTCTTAAAGTTCTCATCAGCAAACTTGTCTCCATAGATGGATTCGCCGCCGGTGCCATTGCCTCTGGTGAAATCCCCACCTTGGCACATAAAATCGGGAATGATTCGGTGGAATGTTGATCCTTTGTAGTGCAGGGGCTTCCCTGATCTGCCAATCCCCTTCTCTCCAGTGCAGAGGCAACGGAAATTCTCTGCGGTTTTTGGAACGATGTCGGCAAACAGCTCCATAACAATGCGGCCGGCTTTTGCCTTTCCTATTAGAATGTCGAAGAAAACTTTGGGATTTGCCATTTACTGTGATGCTTAAAAACATGCAAATCATTATTAGGTTCATCACATTAAGCTTCTTAGGTATCAATATTTAAAATATATGAGTTCAACAAAATAGGAAAACATGATTAAGTATATCTGAAAGATAATATAAACACAGTAACTATTCCATGCTCTGCTGATTGAAAGATAGTTGAGGGTAGAGCCAGAGAAGAAGGCAAATAAAATCTCTAGGAAAGAAATGCATTGCTGTAATCTAATGGTCAGCAGATATCTAATTTGGTGTTTCAAAGTGGCTATCTAAGACCTCAAGTATTGGGCTGTAAATGGCTATTAAGATTTATTAAATGAACAAATGCAGTTGATGAACACCTCGAACTTTTGACACAATTAATACTCGATAATGTTTGTTCAAATTAGAAAACAAACATGTTTGAACATTATTTTTAAAATCGAAGGTTATATGAACCAAAGTTGCACATAGTCTAGTTTTCGAACAAGCTCGTTTGTTGTTGAACAATTAACTTGTTAAGTGCTTCATACTTAAATGATACGTTATTTAAAATTTGACTAACTAGAAACGTATCATAATTTAATACCAAAATGCAGGAGCGAACATAGGAAGAGTCCAAGAAGGGCAATTGCACCCCTCAAATTCAAATTTTGACTTATATGAGAGAGCAATTTGATTTTTTGCCCCTCCTGAAACATCAATTTTGCCCCTCTTAAAATATCACTTTATCATCTGTTGCCCTAGTCCCTGCCACATTAGGTCTAGAAAGGTGTTATATATGTAAAATTTGAAATTTGCGTGTTAACATATAGATTTCACATGCCGTAATAAAGGAGAAAATTTTGTATGTTTATATGAATTTGAAATTTGGGTGCTAAACATATAAATTTGGGTGACATGTAGAATTGTCTTATGCATGTAAATCTTTCATTATTATATTTAGTTTATATAATCTAGTTAAATATTAATTTCAATTTATTCTATTGCTTATTTATTTAAATTTATAAAGTCATTTCTTAATAATTTTATATAAAAAACTCAAACAATCGTTCGAATTTTGATTACAGCCCTCTAATTAAGCCATTTCAATAATTTAGCATTACATAATTTTGATCTATATATGGAATGTCATAGAAAATTTTATAATTTAGCTCTACAGGTGGGCTAACATAATGTAGCTTGCAAGCCTTCAATATATGCTCTCAAACACAAAATGAATTTTTCATTTCTTTCTTGACCTCCAACAAATTAAAATTGTTAAAAGGCCTTTAAATGTAGAGATGATTTAAATATTGCACAGTTTTTGAGCTCAACAAGAACACAATGTCTCTTGCAAGCCTTCGATGTGTGCTCAAGTTCTTATGAAACCGAGATTATTCTACAATCTCAGATTTAAGCAATTCATAGAAGTTAGAAATCAAATATCTTGAGATTATCCTTGAATACAGAACCCAAACGACAAAGCACAAAAGGTTTTAAAACAAAAGGATTTCAAGAGTGGAACAATAAATGGGTCCGTAGATATTTGATAAACACTGTAAAGCCCATATATGACTAAACCAATATCACTCTCTCCATTAGCAAGAATAATAAATCAAGGTAGAATGCAGTAGGTAAAACATAACAAACATTTATTCACAGACAAAGTTGCAAAGAGACCAATAAAGAGAAGCATAAGTTCAATTGGCTGTATAGTGAGCCCTCTCTCCCTCCATAAAGAGTCCCTCTTTCTAGAATTTCAGTTTCCCTATCGACCGCCAACAGATGGAGTCTAGTAGAAGGGGGTTTTCAATCGAAGATGTGATTAATAACCTTGTTAACTCCAAAGGAGAATTCGCATAATATCTCTTGCTAGCCTTGGATATGTGCTTAATTTCTCAAAGAACCAAGTTAGATTCCCCAATTTCCAATTTAAGAAATCAGTAAACTTAGAAGCAGTAAACTTGTCAATGCTACGAAGATGGTTCCTTACTTGATAGCAACGAGATCCGCCAAGGGTAAGGCAAAAATCATCCTGGTAGCTAGTCACGTCAAATACTCCGCATAGGCAGCAACAAAATTCGCCCAAGAATTTGCGAGAGAGGATCCGGCCGAGGCGACGAACTGACCAGGCGGACGAGACTCAAATCTTGTAAAAACTGAGCAAAACAGTAAGTAAGCCACGACTGTCCCAACGAAACAGTTCGACCCATCGGTTGACCGACCAACCGAAGTAATAGGTCTCGCAGAATCGATCGGTCAAGCCTCTTGTCAAGCCAACCGATCATATTTCGACCAACTAATTCCCCTCTCAACATATACGGATTTCAGTCTGGCGGCAGACACGATCGGTCACCCGCCAGCCAGCAATATTTACTTAAACTCATGTCATTGTAAACCATAATTTTTTTCAACATTATGACAGTCATTGATTCAAATTATACACATTAAATCCATTAAGAGTGGTTACCATAACAATCCTCACATTCCTTAATTTTACTAATTAAACATCTTTAAATAGTCGATCCCAAGTAGCATAGGGGGAGAGGGGGTGCTCTCTAGTTTCCTTTGGAGGAAATTACCGTGCTCTCTTTCCCCCTCTCTCTCTCTCTCTCTTTCTCTTGCCCCTTTCGATTCCAACTCTCGGGGTGTGCTCACAATAAAGACAAGTTAGAATCCAACATATACAAATGTTCTTTGCTTCGGTAATTCAAATTTCTTTAAGAGGTGCCTACATGATGCTTAAATAGCACAAACCATCTTCTTTTGGGTGCAAACTGCTTTTTTAGGGCCTTAGGGGCAACACAGCTCTTTTGCAAGCTTCAGAAATTTCTTCAGGATGACAAGACTGTCACACCTAGGCATCAATTTATCTTAGCTATTCTAGCTTCTAAGGTGTCTTTGATCACGCATGAGAGGATCTGGTGGCAGGCTGATTATTTGTTTTTCACTGGCTCATGCTCAACTAGCCAAGATAAGGATTTTACCATTTCAATATTAATAAATCCAATGAACGAAACATTTTTCATCATATTTATTAGTATTATTTGTCCAGAAATGAAAATAAGCAGTTCATGCAACTTCTCTTCATGAGATCAGCCAAAATCACTCAAAAGAGAGTCGGCAGCAACTGAACGTTTATGAACTACTAGGTCGTTAGGAAAAAAAATTAAGAAAAAAAAAAGAAGGAAGGGAGAACTGCGGCGGATCTGCCAAAAAATGCATAACAATGGTGCTAAAAACAAACCTAAATCTCCCGGCGTCGTTGAAAGTGCAAATCAAATGACTCTAATCAGGTTCCACACAGCCCAACTCTTGATTTTTCACCACTCCAACACTGGCAACCTATGCGCCGAAATGCCGAAGAATCGAAACAAGTGTGAGCGGGACGATAGCTGCGTGGAACGGGGACCGGTTTTTAAGATGGGGTTTTGCGATGCTAGGGTTTTCTTAAAGGCTTTTAGACGCAGCAGCGCCTTAGGATTTAGAAATCCAACGGTCCAGCTAACGATGCTATTGGGGCCGAGTTCCAACCCAACAGATTACAAATAATTCGATCGTAAAGTTTACAATAATCAGGATGATGATGTCAAAATTAATGTTATTTTTACACTTATAAATAATTAAAAAAATTTTAACGTATATAACTTAAAAATAAATTTAGTAATTTTACAATGGGGGCATTTACCTACATACCACCCAACTCTTATGCTAAATGAGCTACTTTTTTTTTTTACATTTATACCACCCAAATCTTTCATATTACATAAAAAAATATCATCATAAGCCTTTTCATACACAGGTAAGATGACATATATGTAAAAATTGAAGTTTTTGTGCCGGATATGTAAATACATAAGAATTGAGTGGCATCATATCTTCCTCTTAAAATTCATCTTAATTAAAAAAAAACTAATCAAAATCTCAGAAATGTTTCTAGAACGATGATTTTCTATAAAAAATATGAGAATTTCTAGTGAATCTCAATCACAGTATTTTCCTACTCAAGTAAATAATCTTGAATGTCTGGGTTTTTACAATCTCTTAATATTGCAGCTGTAAGAGAATCTAATAAGGACTTCATCCTTCCATTATAAAACCCCAGACATTCAAGATTCCACATCTTTGCCAAGTGGCCTTATTTCAAAAAACTTTTACTAAGAAACCCAAAATAATCAAATAAATAAATAAATTCTCTTGATGCTCACCCAATTTGTACCTTTGGCGCCTATTGTTTTATGCAGCACTGTCTCCCGCTTCACATTCAACATTATGGCTCCTCTTTCCAACAGCAAAGGTTTCTTTTCTTCATTTCATCCTTCAAACTTGTATTCTCCCAAACCAAGTTCTTTCATATGAATGCTAAGAACACACCAAACCGCTGCAATTCCTGAATCCCAGGATTTTAAACTGTCACAAACACCAAAAATGTAAACTTTCTTATTAATCTCGATCGAGCTGTAACCAAGCGTTTTCTCCAATTTCCTATCATTCATTTTTTCCCTACTTTTCTTCACCATCTCCCACATTTCAGATGCGCCATATATGTTTGAGAGCAGCACATGTGTGTCAGCCATATCATGCTCCAACACAAAAAGCTTATCAGCCACTTTCTCTGCTAGTTCTTCACGCTTATGGATCCTACAAGCTCCCAACAGTGCCCCCCAAACGCTGGCAGCAGGCTCTACGGGCATGTTCTTGATCAAATCCTCAGCTTCTTCAATAAGCCCGGCACGACCTAAGAGATCAACCATGCACGAATAGTGTTCATTTGTTGCAGTTAAGCCGTAGTCCCTGCTCATCGATTTAAAGTACTCAATGCCCTCGCGAACCCTTCCAGAGTGACTACAGGCAGACAAAAGTGAGATGAATGTTACAGAATTTGGCAAAACATTTGCCAACTTCATCTCATGGAACATATCAAGCGCTCTTGAGCCCATGCCATGCATTCCGAACGCTCCGATTATTGCGCTCCACGAAAATATATTCCGCTGCTGCATTCTACCAAACACCTTGTACGCAATTTTGATCGATCCGGCTTTAGCATACATATCCAACAGTGCTGTGTGAGCCACAATATCGAGCTCGATTGCATGCCTGAAGATATATCCATGAACGCTCTTGCCTTGCCAAAGGGAACCCAAGTGCGAACAGGCTAGAAGAACACTAGTGAGCGTGACTGCATTAGGTATGATTGATTCTTCCAACATTCCCTGGAAAGCTTGAAGAGACTCGAAGGCTCTCCCACATTGAGCTAACCTTGCAACCATTGTACTCCATGATATAACATCCTTAGACGGCAATTCAACAAACAGATTATGGGCACAATCTATGAAGCCACTCTTCATATACATATCGAGAAGTGAGGTTTGCAGATATACAGTGGAAGCCATAACAGTGCTTTTGATGCAGAGGGAATGGATTGCACGACCTTGTCTTGCAGCTGCGAAATTTCCATAAGCCCTAGCGAGGCAAACAGCAGCACAGGGATTTAGTTGAACGCCCAACTCTCTCATTCTATGGAAGGATTCCATAACCTGAAGATCCATGGAAGCCTTCGAATAGCCTTTCATCATAAGACCCCAACTGGTTGGAATCAGTAGGGGTGCTTGCTTGAATACTTTCTCTGCATCTTCCAAAGAACCCAATTCTTGGTACATATTGATGAGCGAAGGGGAGACATAACTATCTGTTTCTAGACCAAATTTAATGGCTTCAGAATGAATGGACGTCCCTTCCTTGAGAGACAGCTTCGTGCATGCCCGAATGGTCAAGACCAAACTGTAGCTGTTTGGGCTATGCTTCTCAGCTCGATGGAGATGGTAAAGGTTTAATATCTCAGAGAAGTTCTTTGTGCTGAGGTAACCAGAGAGCATGGTGGTCCATGACTGAGGGTTCTTGGTAGGCATTTGGTCGAACGCTTGCCTGGCATAGAGAGGGTGGCCAGAAGCAAAGTAGGTGCTGACAAGTTTTGAGCAAAGCAAGACGGAGATTTGGAGGCCATGAATGAGAATTTGGACGTGGATCTGTTGAAGGTGGCGGAGAGAGGTGTAGCGAGGTAAGAGATAATGTAAATTTTTTGACTTGGAAGTGTTCGTGTTGGGCAATAGTCTTATCGTTGCCGTTGACATTGATGATTTAAGATGGTTTTTAGTTAATGAACATGTGAAGGCTTCTAGCATTTAATTGTGGTCAGCTTGAGAAAGGGCAACTTTGTTATGATTTAATGGCCCCAAACAATAGGACCTGTGTAATAATTTTTTGTTGCAAGATATTATCAGGTGCGGAGTCAACACATGCAGATTTCATCATATTGTGATAACCGCTACAATCAATACAACAATAAAATCCACACCTACGACATTTATTTCATCGGCACCTAATAATTTCCCATTGCTATAGGGGGTGTTTGAGCCGTTGTTACCACCCCTCTCAAGTTAGAGGTGCTAAAGCCATTATTACCTCGATCCTAATTAGCGCACTTAGATTTTTGTTTCCTATTAGGGTCTCAAATTTTCCCAAATAAATGTTGATTTATCAATATATTCTCATCACTAAAATAACGAGATTTTTAAAACTATAAAAAATAAAATAAATAAGAGAAGAATAAGCATTTTTAACATCTAAGAATCCCCTATACCATAATAATCCCCATATTTATATATTTCATGCCGAGTTGTTTTTGCAGCTATTGATTAAAATTAAAATGGCAGAGTCATTATATGGGAATGTCATCCATGAAAATCAAGAGGTGTATATGGGCATGATCCTGAAAAAGTGGGAGTGTTGAATCCTGATTTATTCGTAAATCACACTCAAAGAATAAAGCATAAAACAAAAGAGGAAGAGAGTCACAAATACCTACTTTCTTTACTACTTTTTTCAGTAACTGCTGAGAGTAGCCAAAGCCCGCCATGAGCAGTATACAGAAAGACAAAGGCAATTTCGACCTTTTGAACGCCATGGCCTCCCAATGCCCTGCATTCAGAACTATATAATTAAATCATAGCAATCCATAAAAATGTATTTTTTCTGCAAACATGAAAGACAAACGCCTGCCTCCAAACATCACATACAACGTTCAAATAAACCAAAATTACAAAATGATAAAAAATCATAATGCTACAAGCCTTCAGCCCTTATAAAATGAATCCCATTTTACATAAAGTAATCGGAATGCTTTTTATAAAACTACTTGGTATTAATCATAGCCATACTATCCCATATTAATCATAGTCATATTATCCATATCGGTGGCCATGGTTAAGAACCGCACGTTTTAATTCACTTTTGATGTGCAATGCAATGCGCCAAAAATAAACACACAAAAACAAAAGGAAAAAAAAACAAAAAACCGCAACAAACCCCATCAATAAAGCACTTGCAGGATTGGTTAGAAAATCCAAAATTAGGAGAAATCAATACAACAATAAAGTTACAAATGTCAGGCCTTACAATTTTTAAGTCATAACGTTGAAAATTTATTTTCAAAAGACCACATGAAAGCTTTGATTACATTCTCTCTTTTCATACAATCAAATTAACCAAGCCACTGCTGCGCCTGTCGCTCTCCCCCACCTCCGACGGAATGCCGTATGCTTATCTTCTCACGAGAGTATTTCTCTTGCAGCCATTCGAAAGCATTCATGTCAAGCTTGCCGGTAACCGATTTGCCCTGCTTCCTTCTAATCTGCTGCTCTTTTATGGAGGTCCAAAGCTTTTCAATGGCCTCTCTTTGCCGCAACGTGAATCTGTCGATGTGGTCAAAAGCATATTTTGCAAGAATATCGATCACAGTTTGGCACCTGAGAAGAAAAAATTAATAGAATATAGTATATGCTCGTCATCATAATCCTGGAAAAACAGCTAGAACTTGTTATCAAGTTCTGTGAAGTTGAGCGTAAGAAAATACGAAAATTAATTTATGCAAATCAGAGTTAAGTGCTATACTGTAATAGCTAAATACAGGCTAAAGAGTATCTTAACAAAAACGGCTATGGAGATGCAAACTTTAATGAAATTAGATGACAGGTACGTGATGGAAGCTTAGAAAAACTATGACGCTGCACTAAGGGTACTCGGTGGACAATAACCATAAATATTCTTGTGATGATTGTAATTCAGTTGGAGATAGTATTGCTGCAACTTAAAGAGGAGGTTCGTGTTAAGATTGATTGTGAATGGAGTCAAATTGTGAAGACAATCCTCTTACTATTTACATGAGGCCATTTTAGTTCCAGATTCTATAAAAGTATCATATTAGTCTCAAAACTCTTTTAATGAGAGTTGAAATAGTCTTCATTGCAGATTATTTCAACTCGTAATAAAAGAGTAAAGACTAAATTGACATTTTATGAACTCTGGGACTTAAATGATCCATTGCAAAGAGCCGGTGAATCCTTTTGGCACTTTTATCATTGTGAATGTTTATAAAACTAAGATAAAATAACAAACATCTCCCAGGGGATAATTTTGACACTTTCATTATTTTGAATACTCATCATTGCCCTTAGCTCATAACCATAAAAAATGATCCAAGCTCTCCACATCTAATAACATTATAATATGATAAATTTTAATATCATTATTAAACATTTATCTGATCATAATTTTAATAACTAAATAATATATCTATAATTATAGATTCATATAATTATAGTTATATTTTGATAACTAATGTTATTTTAAATATTATAACAAGTCGATTTTGAACATAACGAGCCTAAATTTGCCTATAAAACGTGAAATTTAAAAATAACCTGTTAAATCGCCATATAACACGTCTTTTTTTTTTAAATAACCCGGTTAAAATCGAGTATAACACGTGAATTTTGAAAACTAACGCATTAAAATCAAGGCATAACACAGAATATTTCGCTGGACCGCGTGTTACAACGTAGAGAATATATCCCACGTGTTATACCGCAGGCTAGAGGAGTGTTATAAGAGGTATTATAACACGTGGGGAATAGTCCCTATGTGTTATACCGCGAGTCAGCGTTCTAACACGTGGGGAATATTCCCTATGTGTTATACCACGGGTCAGCGTTATACATTGTTGACCTCATTTTTAATGAGGTCTTAACTTCCTACTCCCAGAACCCAAAATGTAGTCTTAGGAGTCTCTTGTTGACCATCCTAGCAGACTAGTAATGGAAGCCACCTCCTTTAGAGCTTCGAGCTACTTCTTGACTCATTTTTGTGAATAACTCGCATGAGTAGTTTCAAACACTCAACTTCTAGTTGCAAGGGCTAAAGACCAACATATAAAGGGCCTGAAAATGAGTTCCTACAGGATCAGACGGCCTTAGGTGAACCCTCTCTGACTCAGCAACGCGCTCGCTACACCACGTACGAAATTAACAAATTTTTGGCACAACAGTTGGAGAACTTTTCCGGACGACCCCGGATGACGAAAAGAACTGTGTCGTCTCGTCTGGAACGTTAATTTTAGCCAGGAAGGACACATATTTCTATGGTTACGCGTGCGTGTAAATGGTACAAAAATCGATGCATATTAAATTTAATTAAAAGAGACGAGTTTAGGCTCAACCCGGGTTCGATTCAGGCTAGATATAGACCAATTGTGTCGGGTCGGGCTGATAACCCAATTCATAATTTGAAATTTGAAATTTGAAAATTTAAATTATTCCGCCTAAACTCTTCTTAATTAAATTTAATTAAACATTATTATACTCTAATTTAACCAGCTGCTTGAATGAAAACCATTTAATTTCCCTCGTAACGACTATCTGGAGAGCAAACGCGTACAAAATCTTCCCCTTTTATCGTTTTCAAGGGAAGAAACCCGCTGCACCGAGCTATCCGTCTTTTTCCCATCGCTCCCCAGCTCCCCCTTTCGGATTTTCTCGCTTGCCTCTCCTCTCTGCAGGAGACCGCCGAATCCTACTTCCTGCTATCTCGCTCAGCTTTCTCAAGCAGAAGAAACCCACCCGCGACTAAAACTCCTCTCCCGCTCATGACCGTATCTCTCCTCCGCATCAAATAGGATGAAATTGCTCGATCAAAACCCCAGCTGCCCGCGTCTTCCTATTTCGGTCGTCCAAGTAGCAGGATTCCGAAGACTTTCTCTACCATGAACAAACAGTACAGAGCCCCTTTCCATTTCCAATCATCTCAAAACAGGTTTCAATGGTTTATCTTGCTTCTTTTATTCCCACAACATTGCTAATCGATTTTTATTATTCATGGTAGTTATTCTAAGACGCTTGTGATTAGCTCATAATCTCCATTCACTTTGTAATTATTGACATGTGATGAGAAATTTCACATCCCGTAAACCTATTCATATTTAATTAATTGGACTCACTATTCAATGCATGGAACTTTCAAAATCTGCCATGGGATGTTCAGTTGGTACTTGGGTATTGAAATCTTTCCCAAGTAAATTTGTTTTCCACTTATCTTGATTGACTTCTTTTAAATTTAATCGTGAAATATTTTCTTTCACCTTCAAAATTTAAGCTCCATGCTCTAATGACATTGCTGAAAGCTTGTGTGAACTCATCTCTGATCTATATGGAACATTTTTACTTGATGCAAAAGAGAGTTCTATTTTATTTGAAACTGAGGAATATGTTGATGGATACGTTTATGAAGTTTACAGATATTAAGTTAGCTCGTGAATTGTTTGATGAAATGCATTATCTTTTACAATACACATAAACTTTAATAATTGTAGGCCTAATTGCTGAATTGGAAGTTTCAGAATGACATAGATGTTGTTTTGAGTCTTATAAACTTGCGGTTTTGGAAGAATAAAATGCTGCTTTGGCCATGCATTCTTACTAATTTTGGAGAGCTATAAACACTATTTTGATTATATGTTATTGTTGATTTTAAATGCTCCGTTGTTGGTTTATGTTTCAAGCACTTAAATACAATATTGTGAGGTTACAATGACCATTTACTTGCTGATTTTAAATGCCCCGTTGTTGGTTTTATGTTTCAAACACTTAAATGCAAACATTGTGAGGTTCTAATGATCATTTACTTGTTGATCTTAAATACTCATTTGTTAATTTCGTGCTTCGAGCACTCAAAAGGGAATACTACGAGACTCGAGATGATCATTATTGCAGGGCTTGAATGCTTCTTTGCGGGTCTATGTTCTTTTACTTCTGAATGCCTCCATTAGGGGTTGTTTTACCTGTTATTTGGTGGGTTTAAACATTACGATTTTTAGGGCTTTGTCTACTGATTCGCGTACTATTTTAGAGTCTGTTTGTTAAATAATTTTGGAGAGTTCGCACATTATTTTGGACTGGATTTCCTAGCTGATTTTGGGACATTTAAGATTGATGCTTTGAGATTACATGAGAGCTGTTTGGGATATTTAAACTTATTGTTTTGGGGCTGATTTTGATAGTTTTGTCTACTGTTTTGGAGGCATTAAACTCATCATTTGCGGGGTTGTTTTAATCACTGTTTTGAGGCAGTTTGGTGGACTAATTTTAAGGCAATCTACGCACTGTTTTGGCGAGATTTTTTGTAGTCTTTAAGTGTTGATTTACATGTGGTTTAGAATTGGTTTTAGTGACCCCTTTTAACCACTATTTTGGGTTTCAATTAATTGTTATTTAAACGTTTTTTAGGTCGATCCACTCGTTGTTTTCCCCCTTTACTTTACTAGTTTTGGAAGTGCGTTTGTCTCATCTTTCTTTTGTTTTACTTCTTTTTTTACATGGTTAAGTAAAAAAAATGAGAATTTCTGATTTAATTACTTGAAAGATACTTAGAAATATTTGAGGATTAGTTGAAAAACACTTAATTGAGGGTAGAACATTTTAAATCAATTTAAGCACAAGTTAAAGTGTAAGTTTCCTAGAGGAGCACGCTCTAGGTGAGAGCCCAGCCTCCTAGATTTTAGGAGCACACCCTAGGTGAAAGTTCATCTACCTATTTTTCAGTGTAAGCTTCCTAGATTTTAGGAGCACACCCTAGGAGAGAGCCCATCTACCTAATTTTCAGTGTAGGCTTCCTAGATTTTAGGAGCACATCCTAGGTGAGCGTTCATCCACCTAATTTTCGAATACATAATGAAACTAGACACCTAACCCTGATTCACAAACTGATTAAGACACTAGACATGAGAATGCACCGAGACGTAGTCATGATTTCTTAATTAAATCAACAGTGAAATTTCCGTAATGACTTAACCTACAATGAAACTCAGTGCACCGGGATTTAAGCTTAGATATTACACTCAAATCCTCTTGGCAATTAGAGAAATTTGTTAATGTCACATATGGATCATCGGACTACGATAAGTCTAGGGTCTAAGTGGCGAGAGCGATGACGACATTGCTTATGTGTGCTTAAACGGGGGATGCAAAATGGGATTATTAGAATAGTATCTCCTACCTTCCTACCTCAAGGATCTTCAGAGGAAATGATCAATGATACTATTTGTCAATTCTTGGTGAGATTGTTGCTGGGTGAGATTGTTGCCCCCGCCGCTCTTAGGTTGTCAGTAGTTCTAACACGATTAGAGTGACTAGCCTCTGGATTACACGACTTTACAAAATATTTACAAAAATAAAACAAAAATCTTTTTTGCATGTTAAAAAGAACTCTGTATAAAAAGGACTTAAACAACAGCTTTTACATGAAAATCAAAGAATTTTTCTATAAAAATTTATAAAGGTCCGTGGCTAGCCACTAGGATTGAGGTTAAGAATTGTCTTCTGTAGATTGTCGGGCTGTAACTTTTGTTCAAGATGGTAACTCTTGTTCAAGAAACTCTTGTTCAAGATCGGGAAGCACACAATCCAGCTCTGAGCCC